TTTGTTATACACATGTCCATTATGCGTACGCATTCATACATACTGCATTCATACAATCTGCAGGCCATATTTTAAAAATGTTTTTTAAATATTTATTTACCATTTATTATTTATTTGAAATAAAAATTTAGAGAATAGATATTTATTTAACATTGTTTAAATATTTATTTCACATTAGTTATTTCTTTAAAATAATAACTTTAAAAAATATTTATTTTATATTAATTAATTAACGAGCACACAGTATGCGGCATCATGGCTAGATGGACATTATTTTTCGTAAGCTAATCACAGATAGAATAAAGGGCATAACGATATGAGATTTCTACTTATAATAAAATGATACTGAAATAATACTTTGAAGGCAACTCCAAAATTGGGCTCCAAATAAAAATAAAATATTTTGACAGTTCGCGCATCGTAAAAAAAAACATTTTTTATTGTTAACAATTTACGTTCCTAAATATTTAAAAAATGTTTATTTGATATTAAAAACACATTTTGTTAAACGTTTAAAAAATGTTTGTATAATGATAAAATAAATATTTTTTTATAAAAAAAAATTTCCATTAATTTTAACGTTTTTTTATATGTTTTTTAATATTAATAAAACTTTTTTTTTTATATTTAAAAAATATTTCTTTACTGATTGGGTATGCACAGAACATATTACATAACAAAATTTTATCAATTCTCAAGAAATCATCCTCGCAGTTGTACAAATATTCACAGTCCGAGAGAGAGAGAGAGAGAGAGAGAGAGAGAGAGAGAAAGAGAGCTCATATTTAATATCTCATTATAAATAAGATTCAGTTTGAATCTTAAATCTCATAATATCATCATAATCATTATATAATCTTAAATCTAATTTTATATTTATAATCACTTTAAATATATTCTTTAAGTATGTCTATACAATTAGATCTTAAATTAAAATCAGATTTTAAAAATACCCTAATAGCAATGTGCATTAAAGAGATTTGTTCTATTTTCGTTTTAAAGTCATGAAAAATATGATAAATCTTTTGCACGTTGCTGCAATGTAAGAAAAAATAATTTGACTTCAATTAACTATATATTGAATTTTCCAAGTGATTGATATTTTGAAACTAAATTACATATATTTTTAATATGAAATGATATTTTTATTAATACACATTACATCGCAGAAACATCGCGTAGAATATAGCGTGTCAATCATATTTCGAATATTAACTTATAAGACCTAACATAACGTGCAACAATTAGCTCATTACAGTGACATGCTTGCCACGTCACGTACGGGCTGTCAGATATAACTAAGTATGTGCATTTTACGTACAATATATACTTATATATGCATATTTTGATTTTATCTAATATGTATAATTTTCTCCACTACGTATAATATAGTCAATAATATGTGTAGTCAACACATATTATTATTATATGAATAGCTAATGTAATGTTGTTTTACTATCATGATTCACATGTATAAAATCAGGTTACACTTTTTATTTTATTATAAAATTTTCAAGTTTATAAAAAAACGGAGTTATATATTACTAAAATCGAAAAAGAAAAATGAGTCGCTACAGTCTTTGTGATAATTTTATTTTGGTCTTCGTGATCTCAGTTACATCCAGATGAAATGATTATTAAGACAATCAACGTAATTTATATCCTTGGTGCGAATAAAAATCGTAGTGCGCTTATATATCTTGAAATGAGATGAAAATTACAAAAATAAGCAAAATTGCCAAAATATTTATAATAATTTCATTGGTCAACATCTAATAAATTTGATCATTTTTGTAATTTTCACTTCGTTTCAAGATACGTACACAATCGATTCACAGAATACTGTCCATTGATAGAGCCTATAGGAAACGAGGAATTCTTTGTGATATCGTTTCATGAGGACGTTCGTCCAATCCGAGACACGGTACATTTCTAGGGAAATGCGTTGTCATGTTCGCGTCCGGAGTGTTGACTCCGGAACGAGCTGAATGAGCGGCTGCTGATCGACTGCTCGGAAAACGGTGGAGTCATTTTGAGTTTCCTGCAAGACGGTGAATATTTTAGACGGCCGAAACGATGTCGGCGAGATATGATAGAGCGATCACGGTTTTTTCACCAGACGGGCATCTGCTCCAGGTGGAATACGCTCAGGAGGCAGTCAAGAAAGGCTCTACAGCGGTATGTTGAACAGTTTAATTTTCCTAACCTCTCTTCCTCATGAATTAAAGAGTCTTTCAAATAACTTCATTATTTTCTTTCGTTTATCCGTCGATTTCTAGTCTATCTGTTGTCATACATGAAGAATTTTAGTTATGATTGATCAACTTTATTCATCTACTTTGTACATGACTCTGCGAATCCTTTATTAGGTTATGTTTTGTGTGTGTGT